ACAACTATACCCAACTTATTTTTGACAAAGGCACTAAAAATATACAATGGAGAAAAGACAGCTTCTTCAACAAAAACTGTTGGGAAAACTGGTTAGCAGTCTGCAAAAAACTGAAATTAGATCTATGTTTATCACCTTGTACTAGTATCAACTCAAAATGGATCTAGGACCTTAATATAAGACTCCAAACTCTAAAGTTGATACAGGAAAGAGTAGAAAACCTTTGGAAGTAATAGGTATAGGCAAGGGCTTCCTCAATGGAACCCCAGCAGCTCAGCAATGAAGAGAAAGCATAGACAAATGGGACCTTATAAAACTAAAAAGCTTCTGCTCAACAAAAGAAAAGGTCTCTAAACTGAAAATATTTCTCCCACAGAGTGGGAGAAAATATTTGCCAGCTATCATCAGACAAAGGACTGATAACCAGAATATACAGGGAGCTCAAAAAACTAAACTCTCCCAAAATTAATGAACCAATACAGAAATGTACAAGTGAACTAAACAAAACTTTCTCAAAAGAAGAAATTCAAATGGTCAAAAAACACATGAAAAAAAGCTTACCATCTCTAGCCATTAAAGAAATGCAAATCAAAACTACACTAAGATTCCACCTCACCCATGTTAGAATAGCCATCATTACAAACACCACCAACAACAGGTGTTGGCGAGGATGTGGAGAAAAAGGAACCCTTATACACTGCTGGTGGTAATACAAACAGTACAACCACTCTGGAAAAAAATTTGGAGGCTTCTTAAAAATCTAAACATAGATCTGCCATTTTCTAGCAATACCACTCTTGGGGATATACCCAAAGGAATGGGAAATAGGCTACTCCAGAGGTACATGTGCACCCATGTTTATTGCGGCACTATCTACAACAGCCAAGTTATGTAAACAGCCAAGATACCCCATCACTGACAAATGGATTAAGAAAATGTGGTATTTATACACAATGGAATTTTATGCAGCCACGAAGAAGAATGAAATCTTATCTTTCACAAGTAAATGGATGGAACTGGAGAACATCATCCTAAGCAAGGTTAGCCAGGCCCAGAAGACCAAAAATTGTATGTTCTCCATCATATATGGACTTTAGATCAAGGGCAAACACAACAAGGGGATTGGACTTTGATCACATGATAAGGTGAGTGCGCACAAGGGAGGTATGAGGATAGGTAGGTAACCTCTCTTCCCCAAAAGAAGATAGCATTTGTCTTCAATGCAAAGGAACTAATGCAGAAACTTTAAAGCAACAGAGACCAATAGAAGAAGGAGACTAGGAACTAGAGAAAAGGTTAGTTTGAGAAGAATCAATTTAGAAAGTAACACATATGTACATGGAAGCAATACTAGGAATCTCCCTATATAGCTATCCTTATCTCAACTAGCAAAAACCCCTGGTCCTCCTTATTAATGTTTATAATCTCTCTTCAACAAAATTGAGATAAGGACAAAAGAGTTTCTGCCTGAAGTGAGGGGGTTGGGGGAAGGATGGTGTGGGGGGAAGGGGAGAGTAATGACCCAATTATTGTATGCACATATGAATAAAGGAAATTATTTTTAAAAGTAAAAAAAAAAAGAAATCATAAACTCTCTTGGCAAAGTATCAGGACACAAAATTAATATACAGAAATCAGTAGCCTTTTAACTAACACAGACTGAGAAAGAAACCAAGGAAACAATCCTATCTATAGTAGCCTCAAAAGTATGTATGAATACATTTAACTAAGGAAAACAAAGACCTTTACAATGAAAACTATTAATCACTGAAGAGAGAAATTGAAGAAGACATTGGAAGATGGAAGTATTTCCCATGTTTGTGAGTCAGCAGAATCAACATTATGAAAATGGCTATACTACCAATTACAATTTACATGTTCAATTCAATCCCTATCAAAATTCCAGTGAAATTCTTCACAGAGATAGAAAAATCAATCCTAAAATTCATATGGAAACACAAAAGACCTCAAATAGCCAAAGCAATTTTGAGCAAAAAGTCCAATGCTGGAAGTATCATAATAACTGACTTCAAACTATACTACAGAGCCATAACAATAAAAACATCATGGTATTGGCACAAAAACAGACATGAAGACCAACAGAACAGAATAGAAGACCCAGGCATAAATCCATGCAGCTATAATCAGCTGATTTTTAACAAAGGAGCCCAAAACACATGATGAAGAAAAGATAGCCTCCTCAACAAATGTTGCTGGGAAAACTGGATATTCACATGTAGAAAACTAAAACTAGATCCTTGTCTTTCACCCTGTACCAATATCAACTCAAAATGGATCAAATACCTTAACATAAGGCCTGAAACTTTGAAACTACTATGGGAAGTAGTAGGAAATACACTGGAACATATAGGCATAGGCAATGACTTCCTAAATAGAATTTCAAGGGCTCAGCAACCAAGAGAAAGAATGAACAAATGGGACTGCATCAAACTAAAAAGCTTCTGCACAGCAAAAGAAAAAGTCGCTAGACTTAAGAGACTGCCCACAGAATGAGAGAAAATCTTTGCCAGCTACTCATCTGATAGGGAACTAATATCCAGAATCTACAGGGAATTAAAAAAAAAACACAACCTCCAAAGAATCAAATTCCAATGAAGAACTGAGCACATGAATTGAATAGGGAATTCTCAAAGGAAGAGGTACAAATGGCCAAAAAATACATAAAGAAATGTTCAACCTCCCTGGATATAAAAGAGATGCAAATCAAAATTACACTGAGATTTCATCTCACTCCAGTTAGAATGGCCATATTCAAGGGCAAAAAACAGCAACAAATGCTGGAGAATATGTGGTGAAACAGGAATACTTATACACTGTTGGTGGGAATGCAAATTAGTACAACTATTATGGAAAGCAGTGTGGAGATTACTCTAAAAGCTAAAGATAAAACTGCCATATGATCCAGTGATACCACTCCTGGGCATCTATCCAAGGAAACATAAGTCAGGATACAACAGAGACACCTGTACACCAATGTTCATTGCAGCACTACTTGTAATAGCCAAGCTATGTAAGCAACCCAGATGCCTTACAACTGATGAATGGATCAAGAAAATGTGATACTCAGCCATAAGGAAAAATGACACCATGTAATTTGAAGGTAAATGGATGCAATTGAAGGACATCATGCTAAGCGAAGTAAGCCAGGTTCAGAAAGACAAAGGCCGCGTGTTTTCTCTCATATATGGAAGACAGATCCAAAACATAAACATATACACAAAACAAACATTATTATATACAAAGTTATATGTAGAACATGTTTGTAATAGTGGAACTACTCTATGGACCTCGGGGGAGGAGGGAAAGGAAAGGAAAATGATAGAGAATCAACAATATCGAAATACATCTGTGCAGGTAGAGGATATAACAATATGTATTGAAAGCAGTTGGATAATGGGGAGAGTGGGTGGGAATGGGTAAGAGAGTGTAATAGAGGGGGGTTAACTGACCAAAGTAAAGTATTCTCACAGTGGGGAAACATTGAGAAATCCCTTTAAACATTGACTTTGGAATTAATAACAAAAGACAGAACTGTAAAATAGGTACAGTAGGGAATGGTACTAAAAGAGAGGCTGAAAGGAGGAGATGAAGGTGAGGGAATATGGTTGGTGGGCTTCATATACATATATGAAATAGAATGATGAAACCTCTTGCAACTGCTTTAAGTGTGGCAGGGAGATTTCCAGGGGGAGGGAGGGGGATATTGTGGGGGCAATTGAACCAATGTACAATGTAAGCCTATTTGGAATTGTCACAATGAATACTCCCTGTACAATGAATATATTCTAATAAAAATGAAAGAAAAAGAATTCTTATAAGTCAGTAAGCAAAACAACACATCAGGAAAGTAAGCAATGATAGGAACAGACAATTCACAGAATACAGAATGTCCAGTAAGTACAATAAGATATAGAACCTTGGAAATAAAAACTAAATCCACTACAGAAGTTATTTTACACCCACCACAAAAGCAAAGCAAGAGTGAACATGGTGGTACAAGTCTGTAGTTCCAGCACTTGAGAAATAGAGGCAGGAAAATTGAGAGTTCAAGGCCAGCCTGGGCTACATAGCAAGACCCTGTCTCAAAAAGAAAAACCAGGGCTAGAGGTGTAGTACAGTGGTAGATCACTTGCATAACATGCACAAGGCCCTGGGTTTGATCCCCAGTCCACGTATACACACACAAAGAAAAAAAATAACAACACAGTTGCAGAAAGATATGCCTGGCATGATCCTATGAAATAAAATCTTTAAACATGTAAAGTAATATTCCTTATTGTTTGTGGATAGTTGTAAGGCACAGGAAGACAATTTGTGAGCATCCATTAACCATAAAGGAAGTATTCTGGCATTGCTATCATATTATTTAAATCTTCTGTGCCTCAGTTTCATCCTGTGTACAATGGAAACAATGCCTCAGTCATAAGGCTGTTGTGAGGATTAAGCATAGGTACTATGTATAAACTGCTTAGCATCATGCCTGGCACAGAGAAAGGTTATAACTGTGATACAAATTAAAAGCACCTGAGTGCATCTTATCTCCCACTATCTCTTGTTTTTTGTTTTTTTTTTTTTTTTGCTTCTCTTTGGGAAAAAAAGCTGCTTTAAGGATAATGACCTGCAACTGACATATTACTTTACCTAAATTAAGCAGGTACTTCCAAGTTGTTTTAACAAAAGTTTTCAAAGCAGTTTAAATGTTCCCCTGAAATGTTTTCATGTCATGACAAACCCCTTAAGATATAACTACTTAAAGATCTATTTCTACCCAATCACATATTTAATTGTCAAATTATGAATAAGTGGTGGCAGAAATCATAAGATTTCTTATTCATGAATATATTTGCTAACAAACTCCAAAACATGACTCTTACTTCAGCTGCAAAAGCATAACAAGAGCTAGCCTATAGCTTCAAAAGTAGTCCAAAGTCAATGCCCAAAGTACCGCCCTAGCTGGAAAGCCCAAGGCCTGGACATACCGGAGTGGGACCTATAATTCTGGTACAGCTGGTGGATCCTCTTGGGCTTCCGGACAGCACAATGCTTGTCTACTGTGTTTCTGCTGGCATAGTGGAAAAGAGAGCGTAGATCACTAAAACGGAAGGCCACACCTTTCATGATGCTCTGGGCTGTGTCTCCGGTGAGGAACATGGCATTGGGGTCATTGATACATTTCATCAGCAATGCCAGCTCAGCTTGGGTGAAGTCCTGAATCTCATCACCATACAGCTCATGGATGGACCAAGGAAGCACCTTAAGCTTTGACAGTCTCCGGGACAGGTTGTATAGAACATCCTCTTCATCAAAATACCCTTTCTGGGACCTGATCTGCTGATACAGACAAAAGAGGCTATAGATCTCACTCCGGTCTTCCTTGAAATTTGGAGATCGTTTCCTACCTAATTTTTTATATGCTTCTTCAGTGAGTCTCCCATGGGGACAGCCAAGGGCCTCAAAAGAACCCTTCAGAAAAGATTTTATTTCTTTCCAAATCAACGCAGGGTTGTACAAAGTTTTCCCTTTGGCCATTTTGGGCCATATCTCATTGGTGAACACCTCAAATGTCACGTATATCCGGGGATCACTATCACCTGTACGTGTTTCTGCAGCTTTGTCCTCCTCACTATAGTTCCCATCTGCCTCAGCCTCATCCTCATCCTCTTGCCAAATGGGGATGTTCAACTCTTCTTGTGTGGACCATCCTAAAATAGTTCTTTTTAAGCTTCCATCTTCATTCCTCAGAAAGAATGGTTTGGGAAGAGAAGCATCAAGCAAGAGGAGTAGCTGTTTGGAAGTAACAAACAGAGGAAAGTTCTCATCCCTCAAGTCCTGGAGTTTGTGGACATTTGGATCCAGTGGTTTGTAGTGACTGGTGGCCTTGGTAGACTTGGAAAGCTCAATAAAATTCCTTTGTACCTCCTGGCACAGAACATGGTTCTTGGTCACAAAGATCTGGTGCAGATGCTCCAGCTGATGAGGACATTCAGGTACACAACCTTCTGCCACTTGGCCATCTCCTGCTGGCTCCACCCCAGCCCCTGTTGCACAGGCCTCACTCTCTTGTTCCTCATCTATGCTGTCTACTGTTTCCACTTTAAAGGAACCCTCCTCTTCTTCATCCTCTTCTTCTTCCTCCCTACCTGGACCCTCTTTCCCAGGTTCTACTTCCAACCTTCTCTTTGGCAAGATCTGTTTGGCCAGCAATGGGCTTCCTGCTTGCTCTGCTTTTTCCCAATAAACATGGAATTTCTTCCACAACCTATACAAGCAGCAGGTGGTCTTCCCAGTGCCACTCCGCCCAATGAGGATGATGGGTTCCAGTGGTCTGGGATTGAGGTTGATCACAGCATACTCAAGCTCACCCACTCGGAAAGGGTACTCCACTGTTGCTGTCATGTCATTGAGGATGTTGAAGGCCATGTTGGTGCTGAAGCTGTGGAATTTCATGATGTTATACTCTGTCTCCACAGCACTGGCTGGTGGAAAATACTCAGGATCCACACATTCCCTGTTCTTCTCTGCCTCTGTGTCCTCCACATAGCAGTAGGGTATTCGCTTTTGGATTTTCATGTTAGCTGACACTTGGCTTTTGTTGATACCTTTCAGCTTCTTACGTAGGACACAGGACAAGCCCCGGTTGTAGGCACTACAGATGGCCATGATGGAATCTGACAACTTGCAGTGATCTAAGACAATGTCCCATATTCGGATGATTTCTGTGTAGACCCTCCCTGACTTCTCCACACAGTATGTGTTCCGCTCTGTAGCAATGATTTTCTCTGGGTTCTCGCTGCATCGAGGGGAAAAGTCAATTGCAAGTTCCCACAGCATCCTGGCTCCTCTGTCCAGCTTTGCTTCAAAGAGCTGAATGTTTCCTTTAGAGTGCTTCAGTCGCTTCTGCAGACCCTGGGTCCACTCACCATTCCCTAGCTGCTGGATAGCAAGGATGATTTTCTTCTTTATGACTTTGGTCATAACTTTACTGGACAGCTTCTTCAGCATTTCTGAAGTGCACTCGATTTCCCAAGTCATGTTATCAAAGTCCTGGAGACAGGCCTCAATCTCCTGCATACTCCAATTGTCTTGATCATCTCTGCCCTCCCTCCCCCTGTTACCAGCAGGAATGAGCTGTGAAGCCCCAGGGCCTGCCTGAGCACATCCTTCCCTGGCCTCTGGGACAGCAGGATTATTCCCACTACAGTCAGAGCTCCTCACACTCAGGGTTTGCTGGAGTTTGTCTTTCTTTCCTTCCATGCCAGCTCCCACCTCAAGAGGCTCAGAGTACTGAGGATAGTCCTTTGGGAGGGAAATATCCAATTCAACCTGCTGAATCAAAACTGTGATGTCCTGCACGAGGCGATCTCTAAGGGATCGAGGCCTGGTGGCTCCAGGTTCCAGCCTAGTCACCTGGGCATCAGGAAGAATGTCCCAGCTGTCAGGAACTGTGGTTCCTTCAGAGAGGATTCTGGCAGTGGTGTCACATGGCAGTGACTTGAAGGAACCCTGGGACTTGAGCTGAGATGTATGACCAGGGACAGAAGACCGAGACAGCCTCCCAAGGTGGGCAGCAGAATCTTGCCGGCTCCTCCGCCTGCTTTCTGTCAGAGCTTTGTTCCAGGCCAAAAGCAGAGCATCATTTTTCTTAATCCGGTGTCTTACATCTTTACCCTCTTTGTTCTTCAGGTTGAAGTTGATGTCGAACTTCACCAGCAGATCTATCAGCTTCTTTGTACGCTTCAGCATGCCCTTCTGGAAGAGGAGGTGCATCAATGTGTTTCCATTGCTGTCCTGGATGTTAGGGTTGAGGTAGTAAAATTCAGTGGAGTTGGACCAGAATAAATCCAACAGGTGACTGAGGAAGTTAAAGCCAATGTCAGCTGAAAGACAAACAAAATTCTGTGAGTGTGGAGCCACTCTTTTCAGGGAGCAACAGACCTTGGGTTTGAGATAGGCAACAGCTTGGGGCATCTCATAATACTGACCTCCTCTAAGGATCTGATACCCATTAAATAACCCAGTGTTCTCAACCAAGATGAATCCCCTGAACATGTCTGGAGGCAGTCTGACTGTCAGTCAGAAGGATGCATTGACAGCTAGTAGGCAAAGGGCAGGGATGCTACTGAATATCCTGTCATGCACAAAAAAGTCCTGACAACAAAGAATTACCAGCCCAAATGTCAATAGTACCTCCTGAAATAACCTTATGATATTCTAGTAAGATCCTTTATGTCAGGATTCTTAAAAAATGGTCATCTACAGTCAGCCAACTTTGAAATTAAAAATCCTCATTGTACCTACTCTAATCATTCACTGTAATGGTCATTTCTTCCCATCATGCTATGGGTGAGAGGCCTGGAGATATAAGCAGGCCTGGTCAGGAAATGGTTCTTTTTCAGATCACTTTTTCCCACACAAAAAGATCAAAAAGCACAGCATCAGTTCTAATATGCAACTTCCTCCTCAAGGAAGGACTGCTTAAAAAACAAGGCTTACCATTTATATCCAGAAAGATGTGAAGTGCAGCATGCAAAGGAGTATCACCTTCTGTGAGAGAAATACCACGGGGGTCTGCACCCTTGGTCAAGAGAAGAAAAGCCAATTCAAAGTCCTCTTGTCTCAAGCACATGAGAAGTGGCCTCCCCTGGCTTTCCTGGAGGCCCTCTGGCAGGGCTGAAAGGGGCAGAAGAGATGGTACCGTGAGCTCTGACCCTAGGAAGAGGCACAGCTTGGCTCACTCAGGAGAAGAGGCTGCTCCTCCCATTATGTTGCTGACTCAACTACCAAGATGCTCCTACCATCTCCCTTCCTGAAAGGCAAAGCTTCTGAGTGCTTTTAGGAGAAAGTCCTGCTCCTTCAAGGGCTGGCCTGTCCATAGGCCATGACCCTCCCACCTCTCCTGCCTGTTCTCTCATCTCAACACAGGACCCAAGTCCACCCATGCACAGCCTCACTGGAGTGAGGACAGGGCACAAGAATGATGGAAACCCTAACGTTTCCTAACACCACACCTGGCATAGTTAGTGATAAGGACCTGAGAACACTTCCTAATCCTCTGCTTCTATTAAGCTTCTACCCTCCATAGTCATCTTCCCTGACACCTCTCAACCCCCTACACCACTTTCCATTGAGATCAGTCCATACATTCCTCTGCTCTACACCCTCCCTGGAGATCTGCAGCCCTACTGTACAGCTGCAGCAGCTGTGCATTTGCCTATGTGGACCTGGTTCCTAGCATCTGATTCTGGGAGATGCTCTATGAGCAGATGCTGAATCAAAAAATAAAACAGGAATTCTATTGATAGTAGTCTTCAACCAAAGAAAGTAGCACTGCATACAAAGAAAGAGTGTAAAGAAATAAAACATAGAAGGTACTCCATCTACCTCCTGACAGCTGTGAGTGGAGCCAGTACCTAAAGGTTTTGCAGTGTATGTGGCACTTTGAAAGCTGAAGACAAATGAGTTATTGCTCCTTATGAAGGGCACTTCTTACATAGCAAAACAAGCAGAAAACCATTCAGCTAAGGTACTCTTCCAAAAGCCTGCACACATTAACTCATTTAATATTTAAAACAGCCTTAAGAAAGACTATTATTTTATTTATTTTTTTTTGTATGAGTGAACTCAGGGCCTCACACTCCTACCACTTGAGCCACTCCACCAGCCCTCATTCTCTTTTTATAAATGATATAAAGGCATGAATAGCATGTCAAAGGGCATACAGTTAGTAATGGTATGATGAGTGGGGTGGAGGGAATGAGTGAAGGAGAAGGTTGGTGTTTTTAAATTATTTTTAAAATCAGATTCAATTTAACACGATGTCTGCACACACCAGACACACACCCCAACCATGTGTGATTATTCCAAATAAAGCAGCAGATGTTTCCACACACCAACTAACAAGCATCACAAATCCCAATTTGTGGATCACAAAAGAATGCCACATTGTTCACAAAGAGCCATGTAACATATCTGAGAGAGAGGCCAGGTGGAATTGACCACTGTGGGCTGAACCAGGCCCAAGGATCCTCCACAGGCTTGCTGTTTCCCACACAAGAGAAGAAGACAACAGGAATAAATGGGATTCACAAAAATGCAGAGTTGCTACAAAGCAACTCACTTATAGGCCACTAACCCCCATCACTGCTTCAAAACAAGAAGATACAATGGAGAGAATGAGGCAGAACTTCATGATGTCTCTAAAAGCAAGACAGCCAGGATATGGCCTTTACTCCCCTGTCAAGACAACTCAGACAACTTTCTGGCACTCGTCATCCAGGCATTCTCACCTCCATTGTCTATCAGGCAGCCCAACAGTTGTGTCCTCCGCTGGTCCCAGGCACTGAGGTGAGGGATGACAGTGCAGATGTCCAGGTTCGAAAGGTCGCACTCTTTCATGAGGCAATCTCCAACAGGTGGCTCCCCACTCACTTTGCGGGTCAGCAGCAGAAGCACTTCCGGCCATTTCTGTTTTTCCAGTAAGAACTTGATGAAGGTGTTGGCACAGTCTCGATTAATGTCACAGATCAGGTCAGAAGGAATTTCTTTCAAAAATAAGAATAAACCACACTCGAAAACAGATTCATATGACTTCCCTCTTCCTCCTCCATCCTCCAACTATATCCCAACATATATACATAATTAAGAGGGATGAAGACTCAACAGTTTTAAGCACTAAGGAAACTGAGCAAGTAATTAATTAACATAGGCAAGATACTTTGCTATTAATGAACATCAATATAAGCACAGATCACATGGGCTTCTAGAGGTTAAAACACTCCATGAAGAGTATAGAGACCAGCACCAGAGATGAAAGAATGATAATTGTGTCTGAAGACAGAATGCTTGAGTTAGAGCAAATACTTTAATCAGGCAAAAGTCTGACTTAAAATTTTCATAGTATTGAGTCTATGCCCTTCTTAAGAAACACTGAAATACAAGGAGACACTATAGAATAATTAAAAAGCTAAGAGTTATAGGGTAATGATGAAAGGATAGTTTATCCTTCAATTCTTAATTTTGTATAATCATGGATAAGTATTTCCATCTGATCTTTGAAGTCTAGAGACAAGATAATGGGTATCCCTTTTCATATTACTGGTGCTTCTTAAGGGTGGAAAACTTTTAAAATAGATCCTCAGTAGGTTGATTGCCAGATTTAGCAAATAAAAATATAGATGTCAGTGAACAAATAAATTCTTAGTATATCTCATGCAATATTCAGGACATATTTATACTTAAAAACATTGTTTATCTAAAATTTAAACTCTACTGGGCATTCTGTATTTGGCCCAGCAATCCTGCTAGTAACAAGGCAGGGAAGAACAGATGGAAACGAATCAAAAATTATTAAATAAGTACAACTTTATTTGTATTTGCCAGATTTTGCTTCTCATATTTTTCTAAATATTGAATGAATATTCATTTTAATATTTAAAATATTCACTTAAAACAAGAAAATTAAATAGACTAGTCTATCATCTTATTTTAACAAGTATCAGAATAAAAGTATAAAAGTAAACTTTTAAAATAGACATTTGCAGTTTTGTCCCCCAGAATCTATTCGCATATCTTCCAATACAGCCCGCTCCCACCTTCCCACAACCCCTCTTGGGGTGTGGCAAGAATGGTCAGCATAGGATTTCGGCCTGAGTCCATCAAGATTCTTCATCTTCCAGACTACAGTTATTGGTTCAGAGATACACAATGTATGAAAAGTGAAGCTGGGCACTGGTGGCTCACACCTATAATCCTAGCTACTCAGGAGGCAGAGATCAGGAGGGTCACATTTCGAAGCCAGACCCAGCAAATGGTTTGTGAGACCCTATCTCGAAAAAATCCTTCACAAAAAAGGGCTGGCAGAGTGGCTCAAGGTGTAGGCCCTGAGTTCAAACCCCAGTACCAGAAGAAAAAAAAAAGTGAAGCTAGGAGTTTTGTTCAAACTATTTTGAGAAACAGAGAGAGAGAGAGAAAGGGAGAGAGAGAGAAATGAGTCCCCAAGTTCAGAAATGCTGGACAAGTCAGAGGTTAAGGACCTAGATTTGTTTCCACTGACAGTCTGAGATGAAAGCTAACCAGAAGATAGCTGGGTTAAAGATGGGAGATAATCAATCCTAGTTACAGTGAAGTCAACTGGCATTTCTAGCATATGAGTCCAAAAAAATCACCTTTATTTTTTGACAATTTAAGACAATTTGAGTTTGTCTGTCACTTCCAACACAAACAGTACTAAATAGCCTACCCTATATCTAGTTAAGGACACAAAGAAAAAAGAAAAAGTAAAGAAAGAAAAAAAACAAAAGAATTATGTGGATTAGAGACCCACTCGACTCTGGAAAAGAGTGTGGAAAGACCACTAGGAAAGACACAGAAAATAAGGAGCCATGAGAAAAGGGGAGAGGACCCCACACCAACACACACAATCCCTCTCAGAGAAACAAAGAAAACCTGGGAACACAGACTATAAAACACAAAAGTCATTCAAGAAGTAGTATTCCAGGCCAGGCCTGGTGGTGTACATCTGTAATCCCAGCTATATTGAAGGTGGAGAAAGGGGTATACATGTTTGAGCCAGCCCCACAAAAGTTACCTAGATCCTATCTCAAGCCAGGGCTGAAGGAGTAGCTCAAGTGGTAGAGTACCTGCCTAGCAAACATGAAGTCCTGACTTCAAAACCCCAATACCACCAAAAAAAAAGTAAGCTAGGCATGGGCACACACCTGAAATCCCAGCTACTCAGGAGGCACAGGTTGGGACAAGGCCAGCCTAAGCAAAAGGACAGACCCTATCTGAAAAACAAACTAAAAGCAAAAGGACTAGGGGCATGACCAAAGTAGTAAAGTACATGCCTAGGAAGCACAATCCCCAGTACCACCAAAAAAAAAGTAGTATTTTCATCTTGTGGCCTTTTGTAAGACTTGCCAAACACCATTACACATTTTATTTTCACAACCCTGAGGAAATAACACATGAAGACAGTCTTCATGGGTCAGTCAATATTAAGTCCAAAACCCAAAGGCTCCCTAGAAATGATTTGTGCAGAATAACTTCATCTAAGAGATCTCAAATAAGAGGCCCCATCCTAGAGTCTTTGGTGTGCCATTTATTTTTGACCCATTAATATGCAAAAAAGAAAGGCCAATCTTATAACCCAACTCAGCTAAACTTCACCTAACAGCTAATGAGTGTTAGTACTTTATGTGCAAAACAATGAGCTTTGTGTTGGACCTCCATTACTTCATGCAGTTGTTTTCCACCTGAGGCAAAGATGGCAAGACTAAAGCTTAAGAGGTAAGTAACTGGCCCAAGGTCACAGATCTGGCAAGTGGTAGAGCCAATACTCAAATGTAAAACTTCAAGTCTTAAGCACTATGATCTACTGCATATCCTGAAAGACATTTTTGCTTCCTTTGGCCATACTTTCCTACATTTTCTGCAAAACTGAGACATCTTAGCCTTATGAAATGTCAGTTTCTAAAATACTAAATCTCACCTACTTACGATTTCTAGAATCTTCATAATTATCTAAAGTTTGTCATCTAAAGTTCTTTTGAGGCAGTTTCCTAATTTCCTCATAAAGAAAAAAATTTAAATTCAATTCTATAGTAACCTACACTGCAATATTAGCCAATATCTACAGAAGAAAGAAACATCTGTGGCATATTAGAAAATGGTTGTATTTCAACAAGGGGATTGGACTATGAGCACATGATAAAAGCGAGAGCACACAAGGAAGGGGTGAGGATAGGTAAGACACCTAAAAAACTAGCTAGCATTTGTTGCCCTTAACGCAGAGAAACTAAAGCAGATACCTTAAAGCAACTAATAGGAAAAGGGGAACAGGTACTAGAGAAAAGGTTAGATCAAAAAAAATTAACCTAGAAGGTAACACCAACACACAGGAAATCAATGTGAGTCAATGCCCTGTATAGCTATCCTTATCTCAACCAGCAAAAACACTTGTTCCTTCCTGTTATTGCTTATACTCTCTCTACAACAAAATTAGAAATAAGGGCAAAACAGTTTCTGCTGGGTATTGAGAGGGGGGAGAGGGAGGGGGCGGAGTGGGTGGTAAGGGAGGGGTGGGGGCAGGGGGGAGAAATGAACCAAGCCTTGTATGCACATATGAATAATAAAAGAAAAATGAAATAAATAAATAAATAAATTTTTAAAAAATAATAAAAAAATAAAATATGAAAAAAAATGGTTGTATTTGCAAAGACTAATGCTTGCAAAATACATGAAAACTAGCAATGGAGGTTGCCTCTAGCGTGGGATTTAGAACTGACACTCAGGGGCACAAGATAATACTTCACTGAAGAACTTTCTACGCTCTTTGAATGTTTTACATGTAAGTGCATCACATTTGTTTTTAGAATTTTGTAAAGATATTATAAAGTAGTTTTTGTTTGTTTTTGTGGTGCTGGGAATTTAACCTCTGCCTCATGCATACTGAGCATGTGTTCTACCACTGACCTAGCCCCTAGGAAAAAGGTTGTTTCTGTTGTTGCTGACTGTAGTGGGGTTTGAACTTGGAGCCTTGCACTTGCTAGGGAGGTGCTGTATATTTTAACTATGCCTCCAGTCCTTTTTTGCTTTAGTTATTTTTAGGATCTCAAGTTTTTTGACTGGAGCTGGCCTCAGATCTCAATCCTTCTACTTATGCTTTCTGCGTAGCTGGGATTACCAGCCTATACCACCACTCCTGCCTTATTTGTTGAGATGGTGTTTCACTAACTTTTTGCCTAGGTTTACCTCAACACATCCTCCCAATCTACACCTCCTAAACAGCTAGGATTACAGGCATTAGCCCCCACACCAAGCCCTGCTAGGAAAGAGTTTTAATAAGCATAAATCATTTTTTTTTGTCTTTTCTTTTTTTTGGTGCTGGGATCGAACCCAGGGCCTCAGGCATGCTAGGCAAGCGCTGTACCACCGAGCTACATCCCAGCCCATAAGCATAAATCATTTTAACACAACTGAATATTGTGAAGAAAAATACCTTGCAGAGAAGAAAGGAGACGCAAGAACCTTTGAACTACTTCCTGCTTCAGAAAGTTTTTATGCAATAACCAGTTTCCTGAGTTCATGTACTGCACCAGCTGCTCAGATGTCTTCCGGAAAATGTCGCTGTCACTTATGGATCCATCACCATTGCTGAGTCCTGCAAAACACAACAAGTGATACTTCTGAATACAGAGATGTCAGCTGTGGTAGATTATAAAAATATAACCACAATTTCCTATACCCTTCTATATCCACAACCTTTGCAACATGACTTTGCCGGTCTTCCCATCAAGAAATAAGGACTATTTCCCCTTCACCCTCCCTTGACTCTGGCCTGACTTCATGACTTTATATCACTGATAGACTATAGCAAATGTGATCTTTGTGCCAGTTCTTAGCCTGGCCCTCGAGAAGCTTTGTATACTTCCACTGGCTCTCTAAAGACCCTGGCCTCTGCCCTGAGAACAAGTCCAAGCTAGCCTGCTTGGGAGTAAGAGACAACATAGAACAAAGCAATCAGCTCAGTTGTCCAAACTGAGACCTAATAGATGTGAAAGAGCCCAGCCAAGATCAGCAAACCCTGTAAACACTTGAAGAAGTTCAATAAAGACTGTAAGCGCATGCCAGACTAAATTGCTGATGTATAAGATCAAGGGCTAAATAAATGATTTTTAAGCCACATAAAATTTGGGATAGTCTGTTTAGATAACTAATAACAATTCAGGGAAGTGACAGGAGAAAGGTGGCTCAGTGCAATGGCAACACCCAACTATATGTCAGCCACCCAAATCTGTATGTCTTATTGGCAAATAAGGTAAGGAATTATCTCTCTGTCCAAGGAAGGTAAGACTATATTCTTTTAGTTCAATTTATCTGAGAAATAGGCACAACCACAAACCCACAGACGATGTATTAAAATCATATGTGTTAATAGTCAGATTATACACTCAAAAAGCATTCTTAGTTTTACTGGACAGATAGAGGAGCAAAACTGGACATTTATTTTTCTCACCAAAGGAAAGGAGTCTGGCTCACAACAGAAGTGACATTGCTTCATGGTTGTGAAGAGATCAATTAGTGTTCGAGGTTGTGTTCTACCAGAGTGGAAACACATTAAAAGAGATGGACTATTTAAAAATGGGGGTGAAGAATTAAAAATATTCTATCTTCAGACAGCAGCAGACCCTGAGTCAAGAATCTGTGTACAAGTAGTTTATTAAGGAGAAAACCAGAAAGAAGAGAATAAGGGAAGCAAAACAGAAATGGAGAAGGAAGCTGAGTGAGGGCATGAGCTCAGGCAAAGTCCCACAGAGGGTGGCCTCAGTCTGATCCCATAGGGAAGGCATGGATTATGAGTCACACCTCAGAGCTGTCCCCATGCAAGGCAAGGGAAATGGACTTTCATATTTTTATATCAGTCACTGGCTACAGACAGGATTGGGAGAGTGGAAATTTCCAGGCACTTCTAGCTTGAAAGAGCATGAACCCAAAATCACTCCCTGAGAACAGAAGAAGCCTTAAATTCTAGCCTTTGAAAGTGAAGGTATAACAATGTCAGGGAGGACACAGAAATGGTAAAGCTACCCCAGGGGGTCCAGAGAACTCGAACCTTTTTGGATACTCCTTTTGATACAAACCTGGATTACATTTCAACAAATCAAGTCAGAACACCAGAAATACACACACACCAACTTTTGGGACAAACAACTTACTGCCTTCTAATCAAGAAAGCTTCAGGTATCAGGCAACAGGGTCCACTACTGCACCACCTTCTTTCTAGAGAAGAGAAATAGTAACCACTTGCCAAGGGAGAACCCACATAACCTTCACTGGAAGTTCACTCTGACAGAAAACATGGGTGGTATAACAATGTCTGGTTAACAATGTCCTAGACCTTGCTTCATTCTGAAATACCTATGAAGACACAGAAAATGAAGAAAACTCACAGTATAGAACAAAGTAGGACCCTTTGTAAAAGGAGAATTTCCTTCACTATCAAACTAATGGAAACTTGTTGCATGCCATAAAAAGCTGTTCAGAAATACTGTGTTATGGGTACGGCTCAAGTGGTAGAGTGTCCACCTAGCAAGTACAAGGCCCTGAGTTCAAACTCTGGTACCACCAAAACAAACAAACAAAAGCTTTTCAGAAAGATTATCCTTCTGCAGGAAAATTAGTTTAGTATAGCACATGAAAATGAACAGAAATGTACTAAGCTTGGCAATAGGCATGATTAGATGCAGCTATACAATAAACAAATGATTATATGGTGAAGACTAGCTATAAGGCAGTTCTAGATTAGAGAAAGCTCCAGACATCAGGGAAATAAATCAGAGAATGTTATCAAAACATAAAAATCCATAGAAGAAAAGTTCTAAATATTCAAATGGCGTCCCTGGGTAGGAAGGCTCTAGGTGACTTGTTTATTACACTGAAGTTTTTTGGCTTTTTCCCTAAATTTCCCTTGAACTTAATGAGAGACAAAGGAAACATCATGATATAAAGTTGCTTATATATTATAATCACAGATTAAAATATATATATATATGACTATTAGGGCTAGAGGCATGGCTCAAGCAGCCTAGCAAGGATGAAGCCCTGAGTTCAAACCACAGTACTGCCAAAAAACAAGGTGGGGTCCTGAAAGCAAGTGCTAGAGAAACTGCCTAGCAAGTACAAGGCCCTGAGTTAAGTCCCTGGTACTGCTCACACACATAAAAAGATGACAATTAACTGAACAGTAACAAGAAATACTGAATAAAATGATGCTGAAGTATAATTATAATATTTTTGTTATATAAAGCTGTTTTAAAACTTTTCTACAATGATCATATTTAGCAAACATATATAAGCAGATTTGAAATTAAAATTAAAGGAGATCTTCTGATGTGACAACAATGCTCAGGAAATAAATCATTTCTAAAAAGAGAGATTTCACGTTTACCCAAAATCTTTCTTTAAAGGTATAAAAGACAAAACTAGCAAGTTTTATTATACACAATGTGATCAAGTTAAATTAACATATCAATCCCATTTTTATTAAAATGTATAACTATAAATGCTTGAAATAAAAGACTAAATGACCAATTCACAAATATTAATTTGTTCCTGGTAGGTAGATTTATAAGAAATGAACATTTTCTCTCCTTCATTGCATACATTTGCTAAAGAAATTTAAAACACTGGTTTATAAAAAGGAAAAAATAAGAAAGACATCCTTTAAGTCAATACCCCTGCCTACATTAACTGAGCTGAGGCACCCTCCTCGTGTTGAGCACAGAGTAGAAAACAGCACCCTGGATTTGAAATCATTTGAAAAGACAAAGCACTAGTGAATCAGAGAGAAGACCACAAGCAGCAGCAAGACAAAGGTTCTGATCTCATTCATGGTCCTAAGAAAGAGCTGAGCAACAGTAGCTGCTAGAGAAAGTGGACATGCTGCCATCTGGTGGAAGCCATGAAAGGCAGCTAAAGATCATTTATAATCTTGACTATTGAAGATTAAAGCTTTGATCCTCGAAGTGAACCCTAGCATCCCCTGGCAGAATCTCAAATTCTACCCTGAACCTGCTGAGTCAAAATCTTCATCTTAAAAGGCTCCTAAAAGATTTGTGTGCATGTTACCATTGGGAAAGCTCTCATTTAGAGAAATGCAGAAATCTTCAGCAAGAACTTTTCTCAAGCTTTATTTCTCACTTAGATGCCAAAGCCACCCTATCCAAAGAGATCAGCACCACCATTATCAGCAAAATGGGGTACAGAGAACTTCAGAAAGAATAAAAGGAAAAAGCATCTTTAATCCTAATCTGTAAATTGAAATGTTCATTCATTCATCTAGGTGCAAAACACTCATGTCCTAGGGATGCTGTACTCAGGATCACAGACATAAGAAACAAAATCATCAAGTCAGACTCTGCTCAGGAACCAGGGTATAAACATCCTAACAGCAGCTCCTCCCAAAGATAAGGCCTGCTAATGGATGAGGATGGGGAAGGATTAGGGTCTATTAAAACAAAGTAGATCTATCTTCATTCCCATGGTCTAGAGCCCTTTTATGGACTCTCCTGTCATCTTCTCAACTACTACTATGGGTAGAAAGATCTTTTGAGGACTAAAATCTAAAACTACACTGTCCAAGGCAGTAGCCACTAACCTACATAAAATTAAAATGTAGTTTTTCAGATGCACAAGCCACACACATTAATGGCCTCATGTGACTAGTGGCTATCATATCAAATAAAGCAGTTATAGAACATTTCTGTTACCTCACAAAATTACATTGCATAGAAAAGAGTTGTACAACAGGTAAAATCTTAGGAACAAAATGTATGCATACAACTCTATAGATCCATATGGACTTACAAAGGAGCAGTGATATTCAGTACATAACCCCCTTCTGAGACCATATTCAAAGACTGACTTCTACAAATGGTCTACCATTAGGAGCACTTCGAGAAAATACATGAAGACTCCAAATCACTGGCCCTTCTTGGCTACTGCCACCTCTTCTTGTTCATTTTTATCAGTTCTTTTCACTTTAACTTGTTTCCCTACAGTCTTTAACTATTCCTTTTGCATGGCAAGAAAATCTTTGTGGCAAATGTTTTGGAAAACTTTCAAATAATCAAACATTCAACAGATTTGCCAATGAGTACTGGGAGATTTTGGCCTGACTGCATCCACAGCCATCCCAGGCTACCTGGTGAACCAAATGGCAAGCCTGGAATAATACACATTCCTCTTGTGCACACTTTTCTATCAAGCAAGTACTGCTGAATTCTAATGAGTACCAAGGGCACAAGCTGAGATCCTATTAAGTTTCTTCTCTAGGTTCCAAACCCAGGCTACTGATTTAACTGGTCAAGCAGACAGAGAGGAAGGAAGAGGAAGAACCCTGTCTCAGGGTTGGGTTGGTAGCTCAGTCGAAGAGCACTTGTCTACCATGGCTAAGGCCTTGGTTCAATCTCCAGCACCATACACACACACACACACACACACACACACACACACACACACACACACACACAAGAATCCTATCTCAGATGAGATGCTGCTTTGGTTTTTTGGGATTTTTTTAGATTACCAGATATTCAGAGACTTTATTATACTATATACAAGGAAACTAAAACAATTAAATTTTTAAAAACTAAACAAATGATTGATGTGCCAAAGACCACACAAAACTAAATACAAACATTATTCTAAGGATTAAAATCAGAATTAATGAAAGATAAATCTGCAAACAAATCATCCATTTTCTACCATCAACTGGTGGTTCTTTTTTGTTATTGTTATTTTAAAACCTAGAAATTTATGAGCAAAGTAACCTGTCTGGTTACTTTAAGTTTCTCAAATTGTGGAAATCATTCTGAAACTGAGATTATATACACAAGTTTGCAGAAAGCATTTCACAATGGTTTGTTAATTATACCACCTCACAGAATAAATCACAATTCCTTAAAACTGAGGCCATTTAAAACCAAACATGATATGTCACAGCTTGAAAAGAACACCCTGGGGAAAAAAGATAAAAGATTGTACAAATACATTTCTCTCTTCTCACTATGATGACCTGGGTGAAACAACAGAACATATTTTAAATAAATTTAAAAAGTAAAACACAAGTGGGGAAATACCAGTGGGGAACTGTTAAATGAAAAGCAGCTTCAATCTCCCCCATGTAGATTTGTCTTACTCTGGCAATTGCAATAATCTCCAGATGTCAGACTGTCTCCCACCCCCAACACACACTCCTATAGGCTGTCTTTCACCTACCCATTCAAGGGAGAAAGTCTTTGGGGGAAAAATATAAATATCTACAGGACATACACACTAATCATTTTGTAAGTGTTGATCAAACTAGTACTTCATCCACAAATACAAATAACCCAAAAATCAGGAGATGATTAGAGTAAAGCAATAGCACAAAAGAGAAGCAAGAAAAGGAATCAACTAACCCCCAAAGTAAAATAATTCAGGGAGAAGAGAACATTATTTAAATGTATAAATATATATACATAAAAGCTTAATATTCTTAAATGCAATTCAACAAGATGTGGGAAATGCAAAACAAGAATAAGCCAGAAGGGGTGATCAAATGGCTCAAGTAGTAGAGTGCCTGCCTAGCCAGCATGAGACCCTGAGTTAAAACCCTAGTATCACCAAAAATAAAAATAAAAAAAATAAGCTGGGGGCATTATTCAAATGGAGAGTACTTGCCTACCAAGCAAAAGGATTCAATCTTCAGTACTAGGAAAAAAGCAATAAGCTGCTACTATAAGAAACAATCAAAATAAGAAACAGTTCTTGGAACTTAAAACTATGATTTTTCCCAAATTAAAAATGTGCAATGCACCTTACACTTTCCTAAATATCAGCCTATTTCTCTTGGGCTCATTTCCAACTCATTTCGCATTAGTTGTAATAAAGAGGTGGTCGTCATTTCCAATGAGTCATAAATTTGAGCTCCATGCCACTCTTAGGAGACAAAACATTTCCACTGTTTAAAAGATTCAGATCAAGATCCAGTGTAAAGATCAGTTAGAGTTGAATCAACACGGGTCGTTAACACATGGGTACATGGAAACAATGCTAGGAATCTCTCTGTATAGCTATCCTTAACTCAACTAGCAAAAACGCTTTGTCTTCCTTATTATGCTTGTGTCTTTTCTTCAACAAAATTAGTGAAAAGACCTGCCTGGAACTGAGAGGGTGAGAAGGGGAGAGGGTGGGGGAAGGGGGAGGGGGGAGAAATGGCCCAAACAATGTAAGCACATGTGAATAAATTAATAAAAAAAAGAACGGAATATTAAAAAAAATTCATAAACAAAAAAAGGAAAAACATTTTTAAAATTCAAATTTTCCTTTGGAAACCTACAAAGAGCAAATTATAAAGCATTATTCATTTATTTAAGTCAGTAAATAAAATCATTGTGACCTTTCTATAAAAATAAATAAATAAATAAAAATGTGCAATGGATAAACTCAATTATAAAAGGAAAATATGAAAACCAAGTTAAAAATCTGGGAAGAAAAGATTAGGAATAGAAAGACACATAAATTCAAGAAAAACATTCATTTAATAGTAGTGGCAAAGAGAAAAAAGAAACATTGGAAGGGAATAAAATAGTAGATGATATTTTCCCTGAGCTAAGAAAGACAGATTGAAAGGACCAGAAAGTGCCAAGCAGGACTGAGTAAGGGCTTGTATCTTGATACCTCCCAAAGAAATGTTATTTATTTATTTATTATTTTTATTTTGTGCCCTAGGCATGAAACAGCTTTGGCCACTGATTCAGGCATCAAGCTAGGATGAACAAAGGACTGACACCTACTCTGACCCTGACTGATATAACTCCCAAGGAAATTTTAGAACTGAAGGACAGAGAACATTCTAGAAGGGGAAAAAAATGAGACTGAATCAGATTACTAATCAGTAGCAAAGGGAGCTAAAAGGCAATTAATTTTTTCAAAGTGTGAGTAACAAGGTCATATAGTATATTTTATAATATACTATATTTGTGGATTATTGAACATGCCAGAAAAAGTTTTGATTAGATGCTAATATGCTACTGATTGTAAACAAAACACATCCTAATTATAAAGATGGTAAAATGAGAGGAGAAAATGCAACTTGCTATCAATTAAATGCATGCATGTGTCCAACCAAATCATCAATCAATATGGGAAAAATAAAGACATTTTCAAAACTCCCATAAGTCTACCATCCACACTTTTCCATGAAAAACTTGAAAAGGTACTTTAGCAGACCAAAAAAGAAATCTTTGCAGATAACAGGAGCCACAAGAGTCATATATGAGTGCAAGAACTACAAGAAACATAAAAATGAAACATCCATGTCGCTTTTAACTGGTATGCTTAAAGAGTATCACATTTAAAGAGTAAAATTTCCAGGACATTTAGTGATTCATTTCTAGTATTCAGTCATGTTACTAGTTGTGATTCATTTCTAGTATCCAGTCATGTTACTAGTTGTAGAAAGAGTAACATTTATATAATCATATTACCACGCAAACGCCACCCACTGGTTTTTTATTTTTAGAATCAATCCATAGATGAAGCATGGAAAACTTAGGAGTTAAGGAATAGAATGTAAATTATACAAACAACATTCCCAGATAAAACCCAACAAGTAGGACTGACACAGTCAAGTACTTCATGTTATACAGTCTGTCCACAGAGGCTGTCCCAAATTGATAAATCAAGAAATACAGATGGAAGTATATTTTAAATTGTTGGCTGTTTCTGACAAATAGGCTGAATTTTTGTTATCTCCTATTCTGTCTGAATTTTTTTTCTTTTTTTTAACTGTGTGTATGCATGGGAAAAATCACCCCTGCTGTCCAAAGTTAAACCTGGAAAAGTTCCCAGAATATTGTAGAGGGTTTCTAAGTATGAATTGTCTCTTTATACCTTTCAAAAAAAGCAAACAAGTTTTTTGAACTTTGGAGAGGAAAAGGTCTCACTTCCATCTATGTGTACCAAGAAGAGATAAACAGATCTGTATCTAATATCACAGAATCAGTTTTACTCCCCACAAAAAGTTAATTCATTGGAGCTGTACCTGATAGGTCCTTAGAACATGTGGCCAGCTTTTCCAAGTGACTGTTGATTTTTTCAATAGCTTTGAAGTTCTTATTCCTCTTCAGGACATCCACAGCAGACCGAGACTGTCCATCCAGCAGAGTGGGGTCTGCCCCAAAGCTCAGGAGCATCTGCACATCCTCTGTTTGTCCTACGTCAGGCCAAAATGAGAAGGGGGGATTGTCATGATTCCTTCCATAAGGAGATGTCCCCATGAGTGAGCTGCCTGGGGCAAAAGAACCAGGGTCTGTTTGTTAAGTAACCTACAATTTCCAGCCTTGAGCAGTCCACCTAACTCCCCAAAGCAAGAAGTCCTGTGTGGAGTGGGAAGGACAATAGCTTTTAAGAGGTTCAGAAGTGCACTCCTCTCTACCTTTCTCCCCGCTCCTTGGCAACAAGCAAGGAGAGGGGAAATCTGGTTACTAGGCAACAGCTACAGCTGTAAGGATAAGAGCAAGCTGTGACTTCAGATTTCTTTATTCCCTAGAGAGGAAATAGAATATTGTTCCAGAATAAAAAAGCCTGTCTGGGGACAAGAGAAGAAAGAAGCAATTGCTTTGGCATCAGGGTTTTTCTGTTGTCATTGTTACCACCCTCCCAGTCCCAACCTTCTGGCCGTCAGCGCCATTTCCTGCTATGATGTACCTATTTGCCAGGCATCGAGGTGTCTCTGTGATTACAGGTGCAACAATTTTCAGAATGGAACAGGCATATCCTTGGGGGTGCATAAATACTTACATAGGCACAGAGAGTTAAATGAATCAATGCCTGACAATTACAATTCCATATGTAATCTTTACTAAAACTCACTGTCTGACAAGGCATCTTTATTCCAAATACCATCCTCCCATCATGGTGTTCTCCTTTCCCATGTCCCCAGTCACATCTGCCCATCTCTCACTTTACAAAAATAAAAAACTCATCCTTCCTACCCATTGAGATCTTACTGTGGTAGGAAGAATTCTAAGCACCCAAGATTCCTAACCCATGGTATATATACACCTCTCTGGTATGCAATCAAATAGCAATCTAGGTGCTGTGTGATGAGATTCCACAAATGTAATTAAGGTCCTAGATCAGTTAACCTTAAGACAGGGAGATTATCCAGTGCACGTGACCTAATCACATGATTCCTAAATGTCACAGTTGGTCAGAAATGGAAGAGGATGAAGATTCAAAGTACGACAGGGATTTGATACACAAGAAATTCTACCTTGCTGGTTTTGAAGATACAGAAGAGCACAGGACAAATGTGTGTGGCCCACAGAAACTAAGGGCAACTTTTGCTGATAGCCATCAAGGAAACAGGGACCTTAGCCCAATCTATGTAGAACTGGATTCTGCCACACAAAATGTACTTGAAAGACAACCTAGAATTCCAGATGAGAACATAGCTGAATCCAACACCTTGATGTTAGCCTTGAAAGACAGTGAACCACAAAGAAGAGTGAAATTTTGTCATTTGCAAGTAAATGGATGGAACTGGAGAACATCATCTTAAGCGAAGTTAGCCAAGCTCAGAAGGCCAAGAATCACACGCTCTCCTCATATGTGGATTATAGACCCAAAACAAATACAGTAACATTATTGGACATGGGTCACACACTAAAGGGAGAACATACAGAGGACAAATAGGGAAGGGAAAGGATAACTAAAACTTGAATGTGGTTGATTTGTTCACTGTATAGGAGTGAATAAAGTTATCTTAAACTGGCAGAGGCCACTATGGGAAGGGGACCACAAAGTAGCAAAGAGGTCTGGTAGAGATGAACCAATGTGGGTTGCAATACACATGTACACGGAAGCAACACTAGGAATCTCTCTGTACAGCTATCTTTATCTCAAACAAGCAAAAATGTAATGTCTTTCTTATTATCTCCTATGCCTTCTCGTCAACAAAATCTGAGAACAAGAGGATGGAACATGTTTTGTCTGGAAGCCTGGGGCGGGGGGTGGCACAAACAATTTATACACATGTAAGTAAATGTAAAAATGATAAAATAAAAGAAAAAATTTTTAAAAAGAAAGAAAGACACTTTAACAATGAAGAACAGAAATGTAAAATAGATCATGTTAAAAGGAGAGTAATAGTAGGTGGGGGAGCGTAAATGAAGAGAGTAAAGGAGGGTGAATATAGTTGAGGTACTTCTATACATGTATGAATATGGAACACTGAAACCTGTCAAAGTCATTTTAAGAAGGAGAGTAAGGGAAGAGAGAGAATAATGGAAGGATGAAACAAACCAGGGTACAATATATGTATATATGGAAATGTCATACCAAAACCCTCTGTATAACTATTATATACTAATTAAAATATTTTTTAAATAAATAAGTAAAATTGGCCTGTCGAACACCAATCAGCAAGCAAACATCCACATTATGGATGCTCCAGAAATTTAAAAAAAGGAAAAAGGCAGAGAAAATCTATTCAACAAAATAATTACTGAAAAATGTTTTCAATTTGGAAAAAGATATGGGCATCCAGGATCAGACACTCAAAGGACCCCAAATGGAACTGATCAAAAAGATATCCTTTCAAAGGCATATTATAGCCAAATTGTTAAAAAAACACAAGACAAAGAGGGAATTCTAAAACCTATAAAGGCATAGAGTCACTTATAAGAGAATCCCCATTAAACTAACAGCAAATTTCTCAACATGAATGTTACATGCCAGGACAGAATGGGATGACAGATTCAAAATGCTGAAAGAAAAAAATTTCCAACCAAGAATACCATACCCAGCAAAGAAAGCTATCTGTCATAAATGAAGAAGAAAAGACACTCCAAAATAGGCAAAACCTGAGGGCATTTATCACCACCAGATGGGCCCTACAAGAAATGTTTAAGGGAGCTCTATACTAGAAGCAAAATGAATACTCACCAGCACACAAAACTAAGATACACAAAAAATGAAGAGAATCAAACCCTATCAATATGGAAAAAACACCACACCACAAAGTTGAACAATGAGAGAGGAAGAAAGAAACAACACAACTAGGTAAACAACCTAACAGAATGACAGGAACATGCCTTTACTCACAATAGCCTTAAATGAAAAATAACTAAATTTCCTAAAAGAAGGATTTATACAGGTTAAAAGTATTAAAAGAAAAAACCTAGACTGAATAATATGCTGCCTATAAGAAACACACATCACCAGTAAAGGCAAACACAAATTGAAAGTAAAGGGATAGACAATGAATATATGCTCATATAAGTGGGGGGAAAAGTGAAGGGATAGAAAAAGATGTACTATGTAAAAGGAAGTCAAAGGTGATCAGGTGTACCCACACCCATTCTTTTATCAGACAAAATAGGCGTTGAGTCAAAAAGTATAAAAAGAGACAAGGTCACTATGTAATGATAAACAGAACAATTCAACTTGAGGAAATAACAATTATCTATTTACTCAACACTGGAGGACCTAATTATATAAGGCAAAAGCTATTGGATCTGAAAGGAGAAACAAACTCTAGCACAATAATAGGTAGGGATTTCAATACTCCACTGTCATTCATGAACAGATTATCCATCCAAAACAGAAACATCAGAGTTAAAAACAATACACTATACTATAGACCAAATTGACATTTACAGAACAGTTATAGAATACACATTTCTCATCAACACATAAAACACTCTCCAAGTTAGACCATATGTTAAGACAAAACAAATCTTAACACATTCAAAAAATATAAAATTATGGCATGTATCTTCTCTGACCACAATGGAATAAAACTATAAATCAAAAACAAGAAGGCTCAGGGGTAGCTCAGTGGGAGAGTATTTGCCTAGCAGGCATCAGTACTTTGGTTTGATCCCCAGCATCAAAAAAGGCAAAAACAAGAGAAATTTAAGAAACTGTACAAACATATGGAAATAACATTCCCTTTGATAGGCCAATGAAAAAAATCAAAAGGAAAAATACAAAATTTCCTGAAACAAATAAAAATGAAAACATACCACAATCTACAAGATATAGCAAAAGCAGTTGTAAAGAGGGAAGTTTATGGTAATAAGTGCCAGTATCAAATAAGAAAAGAAAGACTTCAAATAAATAATCTAATGATTTAACTCAAGGAACTAGAAAAGCAAGAATAAACCTAATCCAAAATTAGAAGGAAAGAAATATTAAGGAGCACAAATAAACTAGAAACTATAAAAATAATGAAATAAAGAATTGTTTTTGAAAAGATAAACAAAATTGATAAACTTTCAACTAGACCTACTAAGAAAAAAGAGAGAAAACTCAAGTAAATAAAATCAGAAAGGAAACTGGGCACCTGTGGCTCACTCCTATAATCCTAGCTACTAGAGAGGCTGAAATTGGGAGGATCATGGTTTAAAGCCAGCCCAGAAAAATAGTTCATGAGACCCCCATCTCCAAAGTAACCAGAGGAAAATGGACTGGAGGTATGGTTCAAGCAGTAAAGTGCCCATCTGCTTTGTGAGCACAAAGCTCCAAGTTCAAACCCTAGTCCTACAAAAATAAAAAAATCAAAGATGAGAAAAGAAACATTACTGACACTAAGAAAACTCAAACAATAAATAAATAAACAAATAGATATCTATCCCAACTGATGTGCAAATCACAACAAAGAAACACACAAGAAATATGAAAAAAATCAAGGCAATATAAGCCTCCAAAAGTTTATAACACACACATCTGAATCAAGAGCTAGTGAATTGACTCAAATGCCAGGTAAAGAACTCAAAAATAAGCCTGTGGCTCATGCTTGCAATCCTAGCTATTCAGGAAGCAGAGATTAGAAAGACTGTGATTTGAAGCCAGTCCAGGCAAATACTTCATGAGTCCCTATCTCAAAAAACAAAATCACAAAAAAGGGTTGGCAGAGTGGCTCAAGGTTTAGGCCCTGATTTGAAACCCCAGAAATCAAAAGTATGGTTTTTAAAGTTATCTATGACCTGAAAGAGGATTCAAATAAATAGATGGATGAAGTAAGGAAATCAATGGATAAAAACGTCAGCAATACTGAAATAATACTGAAAATACTGAAAAAAAAAGCCAAATGGAAATGTTGGGAATGAAAAACTCAACAAATCAAACTAAAACTCATTGGAATGCATCACCAATAGAACCATTCTAAAGAAAGGATATCAACTATTATAGACAAGGTCAGGGATG